GCTGGCTGGGTGCTGGCAGGCTTGCACCTGGCACGGGCACCGTAGCCAGCCCGTGCCCCTTTAAGGGCTCCAGGGCCGGGAGGGGGGCAGACGAGTTTCCCTGGTGGTGCCCAGAGTGGCCACCAGGGAAAGCTGGGGAGGGCTAGCTTCCCACTAGTTCGAATTAAGTGGCTACACATCCCTTAATTCGAACTAGCTAATTTGAACTAGGCGTTAGTCCTCGTAGAATGAAGTTTACCTAGTTCGAATTAAGTGCTCCGCTAGTTCGAATTAAGTTTGAACTAGCGTAGCGCCTATCAAAGTTAATTCGAACTAACGTCTGTTAGTTCGAATTAACTTTGTAGTGTAGACATACCCTAGGTTGGCCATTCTGTATCATGCTTGAGGATAGAGAAGGTGCTATAATGCTACCTAGAGAAGATGCTATAATGCGCCTCTCTCATCTGTGACTGAGCAAGTCGGCTGACTGGAATACTGGAGATTAGTTTAAACTTAGCCTTGTACAGTTAATACTGCTAGACTAGACTTACACAATCCTTGAGCTCAGGTGAGCTGCTCTAGGGAGAGAGGGAAGGGGCAAGAGCTATTACAAGAGAAGAGAAGGACACAATTTATTTTATACTGGAAAGAAAAACACAATTACGTTTAACAAGGCAAATATGCCACTATAATACACACACTTGAATCCTTTATATTCAAGGTTACCTACCCAAGAAGTACCCTGTCAACAGCAACATTAGTGGAAGAAGCAATCAGAAGTTTCCATGGGGATGGTTTTGAGCCTTCAGCTTCTTCACTGCTTTCAAAGAGCTGTACCAGGAACAAGACCACAACAGACAGCAAGTAACTCTTTCCAGCTCCAAAAACACCTAGCATTGTGGGAGAAGAAAAACTCAAGGTTACAAATGAATAATTTCAAGAAAACATACAATTCATCAAATATACATTCTTGTGGGCCTACATTTTGTCTTGGTTATTGTTTAGATAAGTTTATGTTTAGAAAAAGTAAAGAATAGGGAAGCTAAGAAACTATTGCCAAATGTCCTGGCAAAAAAACATGTTGCTGGACTAAAAGTTGCTAAGGCAGAAATCTTCTCTGGAAGCCAATGCAAGGTGAGGGTCTGCAAGGTGTGTGGTATGCCTTGAGGGAGAAGTATGTAGACTTTTAGAAAGGGAAACAGTGACATAAGACACTCTACAAATGGAATAATAGATGTGTGTGCTGACAGCATAACAATTTTTTTTAAAATAGGCAGCTAGATCCAAAGTATTATACAATGTTTTTATAAATGTGTTTTGTCTTAATAGGCCCCAGACTAAGCTACATGATTCCCAAAAATAAAATCTCTGAAGTGTTTACAACCTATTTGGATAGAGTGCAAAAAGACAGTAGGGAAGAGTAGATAATCAAGGATAAAAAATATTGTTAAGTTGATTCTGTGGCTATTGTATGTAGCAAGGTCAGTGTACAGTATGGTGGCACATACAGTACTTTTTTATACTAGATACATTGATAGAATGGATACAGGAACAAATCCAGACTCTGCCATTGGATCTGCTAACATGGAACCCAAAGTCCTACAGAGCTTAGAGGAATGCTGCAAGGGCACAAGGGATGGTGCTGATGATCCTGAAGTGGAATCAAAGCCTTAATCAACATGTTTCTTGTAGGCCTCATGGAAGAAATGGATGTTCAAGAGGAAAGGGCAAGTAGTTCGATGAACTACCTGAAGTAAGACATTACTTGTACAGGGGGCTCCTATTAACATTTACCTGGAAGTTGGAGATGGCCCAGCATTAAACTGGGCATGAGGATATCATTAATTCTAGAATGTTGTAAATACATAGTGCTCATGGGCTTCGCTTCAATGTATTATGTCAGCATTTAAAGAATTTAGACATGGATATTCCACTACAACTTCTATTCATACATAGATCAAATGATCTAGCATCTCTTTGGATGCTTGTGTGTACAGTAAAAGGGCTCAAAGGATTAATCAATATAAATAAGGGATTTAACTTGGTGGCTTTACTTTGTTTTTTTTACCATGTATGATTGTGATAGGGAAGGTCTGCTGGTTTTCCATTTGTGCATCATTTTCATGGGATGCCATCATCTGAGCTATTTGAATCAGTGCTGTAGCTTGATCTGTGTTCAGCTGGAATGTCTGGATCATCTTTCTGGCCAATCCCAATGTTACTTCTGGACTGAGAAGCCCACACATCATTGTACACTTTGTATTTAAGGCTGGCGGAATAAATTTTCTTTTGTTGACTCTGTCGTGAGCATGTTTGACGCTGACAGGCCTAAGAAAAACACAACAGTTGATCGATAAGTAAATTCGGACTGTGTGAGACTAAATGAACGTATACTTAACTTATGCGTGCACACAGAATTTTGTGCATGCACCCATACATGTAAAATTGCTGTTCTAAGGGGGGAATCAAAACTACACTATCTTTTTGACATATTTTCAGGTTTAAAAAAATATTTTCACTTTTACCTCTAGATATGTTAAATATCACATTTATGCATTTGTCAGTCCCCGCAATACACGAGGTTCGAAGGGATGCCGGAAAGAATGAGACCACGACTGGGCGTTTGAAAAATAAAAACTGATTTTATTTTGATGAGGACTCTGGTGCCTAATAACTGTAAACTTAGTCACATGCGTGGTCGCCAGACAATCATCAGAATGAAAAACAAACAAATCATCAAACAATATAAAACAATTCCCTGAGGCTTTTCTAAATCATAATAATTCCCAATAACTGCCCAGGGGTTAGAAACAGTTGAATTCACACTGGTGTTGTTCATACGTCTAACTATTTACACTATATTACACAAAGAACAGTTAAAGACCTTAACAACCACTATTAAAAGAACTAACACAATAACTCTTAAACTACTGTTACTTGATAGGCAATGAGGGCAACTCAAAAATCAATTGGGATAGGGATAATCGCAGGGGAAAGGGGTTATACCGATTCTGAAAACAGCAGGAACACGAGTACCAGCCACATGCTCACAAACTGTCTCCACTCAGGTCGACCAACTCGAAGTATGCTCAAACAGACTCGAGAGCAGGGGGTGAAAGGAGACTGGGTGATCAAGCCAGGCGTTGACACGATGTAATCCCCAGTGTGAGAGGGTTTGGCTGCCTGTTTTATTGCCTGTGGACATATCACCCCATAGGTTGGTTTTTGCCGCAGTGGGTGGAGTGAGCAGGCCTGACCACAAGTCAGCTCATTGGCTGATCTTTCACTGCAGTGGGTGGAGCGAGCAGGGGAAGATCAGTAATTTACATGCCCTTATATGGGAAGCGCTCCGCCTCACAGACAGAGCCCCCTATACCAGCCTTGGACGTATGACAGGCTATGGCTCTCCTGCGATGGGCAGCCATTGTTGTAGTTCTGACTCGGACAGCATTAAGTATCTTTTCTGCTCTCTCTTCTATACTGAAATATTTATATGGCTACCAAATGTTTATGAATTCTGCTCAAACTGATTTTTAGATTATTTTTGGTTTAAAGCACAGATTGATTAACTGTCAGTTTTTAAAAACAAACTATATACTCACTGATTATTTGGGCCAAAGATTTTCTGTTTGTTAAACATAATCTCACCAAGTTTGAAAAGCTACTAGTATGTTTATCAATGGTTCTCTAGCCCCCTTTCTTTCCCACTAGGGATTATAGATTTTAAAATCTAATTTTCCTGTGATTTCTTAGTCCTGCATGTTTTTCTAACACAACTCTATCTTTCACTTAAGAGAAATCTGACATTTATAGCATCAAAGTTTGAATATCTATTTGTACTGTATGTGATAAACTTATCAGTGTTCTACATTTCCATATGGTTACACAAGTCACATACATGCGAATTATGACTCTAATGAAGTCAGTTGAAATGTCTTATATGTTGAATACAAATGACCTTGGGAATATTGAGGATATTCCACTGATTTTTACCCTTGGCATGAATTTGTTCCTATGTTACAACGGTAGGGAGAAAATACTGGAAGTCTACTTAATATAAAGGCTGACCTTGACATTCAATTTGTATTATAAAGTTTCTCAGTACTGTGGTCAGTAAGAAGTGAAATACTAATCTCCAAATTATAAGGGGTAGGACAGGTGTGTAAGTGTAGGGTAAATTGAAGCAGCGCATGGTATCTTGCTGAGAACTGACAAATTCAAATCTCAAATCATTAGGCCAGCTCTAGGAAGCATACAGTACAGTAGTTACTGTGACCCTGGTTCCCCTGGCAGCCACATTCCAAAAGGGCCTTTGATAAGGCCAGTACCAAACAACCGTGCAGGATTGTTTTTCATTGTTGGCTTTGTTCCTAGAAAATAAGCTTGGATCCCAAAGATCGCGCCAAGGCAATTCCACCCCCGTAGGAGACGCATTATATTTCCAGCCGACAAAATGACCATCAACATGCCTTTGTTTATGTTGGCTTATTTAGCTTGTTAGGAATAACTACCTGTATTAATGATAACATGTTTAATTGGCAATGGGCGGAGATGCTGTGTAACTGTCATAGACCATTGGCTTATGTGCATATCTCACTTCTGCTGCTAGACCTATCAAATCACTTCTCCTCCGTCCATCTGCTACCTATATGATCTAATGTATGTTTTGGTTAAGTTAGTGCTCACTGAGTTAACCCCTGATGAGTACTCCACCAGCTGTGTGAACCAATAAATCCTCTGCTTGTTTTTACCTGCACCCAGTGTGTCCAGAATTATTCCCAACAGTAAGTAAAACAAATATGTCAAATTCTTGACTGAAATGTAAGCAAGGAATTACTTGCATTATATATTGAGAATTGAAGTATGACATTAGCTACTCACTATACATCACTTACACAGCTACAACATTGTCCAGGTTTGGGTTTTTTTTTTTTAGCCTGCTTTTTGTCTAGTAAATACAAAGGAAACCTTCTTTGTTCCTTCACATCTATTCACTTATTATTTAACACATACAAAAGCCCGTTTGCATGTACAATGATTATTTATACTTACATTTTTAGTAGGTATTTTATTAGTGGTAGAGTAGCTGGACTGAAGTACTCTTTTATATTTCTCAAAGCTGTAAGCTCAGTGCTAGCATTACAAACCAGCAAGGCATGAACGATAACTGGAAAGATTAGAGGAGGTTAACAAGTGTAGTCAACCACAGAAAACAATCTAGTAATTCATTTCTAATGTTCAGTAAATAACTTTCCCTGCTGTAATAGAAGCCAAATTGAATATTTTACAATGTTTAACCTTGTATTCTAGAGCAAAAGATCAATGAGAATTTCTTTTTAGCCTATTATATTTTGAGGGATTTGTAGCTCTGGAATGAAAATCCTTCAGGGATAGAAACCTGGATACAAAATCTCAGCATTTACTCTGTATTTTAAGGAAATTATCTCATCATCGTCTAAAGCTTGAATACAATACATAGATGGCCATCTTTGATCAGCTAAATAGCTCAATCTTTTTGGCAAGTGGCAGCATTTGTACAAAACAATTATAGACATACCATGAGTTTACTGCAATTAAGACACTTGCAGCTGGCTTGTGCCAGGTGGCTCAGGTTACAGGGCTGTTAAACAGAAGTTGAAAAATTTCCGCTGAAGCTGGAACCCAGGCCACAGGATTCCAAAAAGTGGGAGGGACCTAGCCAAGTCCCAACCCCTGAACTGCAATTCAACAGCCTTTAAACATGCTTAGTTTAACATCTCCATTGAGGTTTTCAGTATGTAATAGATCATAGTAGCATGAAATAGCCCCTACTTCAATACCACAGGCAGGCTTTTGAGTTTTAAAATCTACAAGGAAAATAAATGTAAACCCTTTATACTAAAACATTAAAATGACAAAGCTAAACACAATAGTCAAGGAATGGAAAAGTGAAGGGGCCCAACCCTGTGGTTCTTACACAAGGCAAAACTCACATTAAATTTTGGGCCTCTGGCTAGGATAGAAATGTTAAGTTTGGCCACAATGCACATACTCACATTGGTATTTCTGACTATTCTTCAATCTATTAGACAAGTAACTTAGTATGTGAAGTGTACCTCCTTTAACAAAACTGTTGAAAACAACTTTCTTGAATACTGTATTGGTGTACATTCTTAAAGTTGTATCAGAATAATATCAACAGGTATAGGGTTCTAACCTGCTCCAGAAAGAACATACACTGCACTATACAGAGTTCCTACTTACTTCCTTGTTGGCTTATTTGTAACTTCAGCATTAAGGGTGAAGCTTATTGGTTAACCTTTCAAATCCCTATTTGGGATGGCCAGCAAGGAATCTTTCCAGTACACTGTAGAGATGTTAGATATCAATTAATTGAATAATCATGTAACCGATCAAAACTTTGCAGTTACATGATTATTCGATAGACTCTGTAGGAGGGCCTGGAAGATTGTGAACTCCTGGCTTCACTCTAGGGGAGCCCCCTGCTACCTTGCGCTACTGCCTCCCCACAGCTGCTTCCCCACCTACCTCCCCACACTGCCTCTGATACAGAAGCAGCAGTGTGAGGCGGTAACAGCTCTTGTCTGCAGTGGGAGGAGGGGGAGCTTCCTGCAGACAAAAGCTGTCCCACATGCCTTGGAGCAGCCTCTGTCCGCAGGAAGCCTGAGCCTGCCACAGACAGACAGCTGCTCTGCAGCAGCCTCCCCTGCACACTGCTGTGTCTGATAAAGGCAGCAGCACGGGAGGGAGGCAGGCAACTCTGCAGAGCTGGTGCTCATGGGAAGTAAGGATGTTAAGTATTGGGTAAATGTTAACTATGGCTGTTGCTACACTTCAAAAACAAAAGCACCAAAGCCTGGGATCAGCAGGGTAGTCCCCCTCCGACCCCGGGCTCCATGTGGTGATGCCGCTTTGAGGTACAGATGTGAGGAAGAAGGTGGGGGGGGGGGAGGAAGTGCATGTAGTCAAGAGGATTAACCAATAAGTCTAGTCTTATTGGTTAATCGTGCAGTCCACTACATGTTGACATCCCGGGCTCATCTACACTGGCCCCTTTTCCGGAAGGGGCATGGTAATTTCACAAGTCGTAATAGGGAAATCCGCGGGGGATTTAAATATCCCCCGCGGCATTTAAATAAAAATGTCCGCCGCTTTTTTCCGGCTTTTAGAAAAGCCGGAAAAGAGCGTCTACACTGGCCCCGATCCTCCGGAAAAAAAGCCCTTTTCCGGAGGATCTTATTCCTACTTCGAATAAGATCCTCCGGAAAAGGGCGCTTTTTCCGGAGGCTTGGGGCCAGTGTAGACGCTCTTTTCCGGCTTTTCTAAAAGCCGGAAAAAAGCGGCGGACATTTTTATTTAAATGCCGCGGGGGATATTTAAATCCCCCGCGGATTTCCCTATTACGACTTGTGAAATTAACATGCCCCTTCCGGAAAAGGGGCCAATGTAGACGTAGCCCCCTAGTATACTGTACTGGCTACAAATAACTTGCTGGTAGAATGCACAGTACTGGCCTACTTGCATCACTGGCTATTAACCAGGATGGGGAGAAATGGTGTCCTTACCCTCTGTTCACCAGAAGCTGGGAACGGATGGCAAAGGATGGACCATTTATGATTACCTGCTCAGTTCACTCACTTGGGGCACCTGGCATTGGTCACTGTCAGGAGACAGGATACTGGGCTAGATGGACCTTTGGTCTGATCCAGTATGGCCGTTATTATGTTTGTAATTGCTTAAGTGACTAACCTGAAAATAATACTTTGTACTTATACACAGGGCTTGACAAACCTCAGCGAGAGCTATTCGCCAGCCCCGCACCGCGCATGCGCCAGACCGGCACTGCACATGTGCGAAGCGCCAATGCATAGGGTGCACGGAGCGACCGGCTGAAATCTTCTCATCACGGGCGAGTAGATTCAGCGGTTTGTTGAGCCCTGCTTATACAGTTTAGATAACCAAATAATAAATAACAGAGTGACATATTTTAGAAACAGTCCACTCACTCTTCATCCGTACTCGAACACTTTTTCACAGATATTGTTCTATTATTATAATGAATTTTTTTGGAATAAAACTCACTATTTGAGCACCAATTGGAGGAATAATAGCCTTTCAGAGGCAATAATTCAACTTCATTGCTAGATGATGGTCCAAAGAAAGCACTACATGCAATGAAAGTGTTCAGGGATTCAAAGTTTAGAGTCTTTGAAACAACCCACAGATCATCTGTAAAAACAAGAAATCAATTTTTCACTTAGTTTCTGCTATAACAAGGTTTTAAAAACAGTCAAGTCATTATTTTGCAAATTAAGCTATTAATACGCTTTAAAATAAAGGGGGGAAGGGTGATGGGGCATCTGCCCTGCACTGGCCCTTTAAGGGTTAAAACCCAGCCCTGGGAGATGGCTAAAGCTGTGAAGCCAGCAGCTGTGGCTGGTATGAGGCAATTAGGGCCCAGCTGAGGGAAGTATAAATAAAGGCTCCTGGATGGATAGAGGCAGACACACTTTTGTTCTGGCTGGTGGATAGGAAGGACCTGGCTGCCTGGGAAGCTGAAGGCTTCCTGAGACAGGGCTGCGCTGTGCTGGGAAGAGGCAGACAGAACTGGGGAGCTCTGGCTGGACCTCACTCCCAGGCTGCTTAGCCTGAGAATACTAGGGCTGTAGTTAGGGCAGGACTGGGGAAAGGCAGGCAGAGTTGGGGAAGCTCTGGCTAGGCAAGCTCTCAAACTGCAGGGCCTGAAGCAAGGCCTGAGTGTACTAAGGCTGCAGAGAAGCAGCAAGGGGAGGCAAAGGCAGCAGATCCACACTAAGGCTATTAAATATTGGTTAATTTACTAGCTGAGTAGTTGATGGAATTTCCATCGACTACTCAATAGGCACTTCAGCATTCCTACTTTGAAACGTACAAGAGCTCCCGCTGGCGCTCTTGTACATTTCAAGGGAGGAAGGCGGAACTCTGTGTGCAGCTTGGGGCCAGCGGGAAGGCCTGCTGACTCCAGGCAGCACCCGGTGTGCTAGCTTTGAAATGTACAAGAATCCCAACAGGGATTCTTGCGCATTTCAAAGCAGAAGTGCCCTGATGGAGCCTGGGATCAGCGGAGCACTCAGATTCCCCTGTTGACACCCAGGCTCCATGTTGCGCTGCCAATTTTAAATGCCACATGGAGCCCATGGCACTGTGTTGGTACAATGCCACGCGGAGCTCTGAAGCAACAAGGGGGGAAATAGACTAGTCGACTGACTATCCAATAAACATTTGCTTATCGGATAGTCGACTAGTCCTTAACATCCTTAATCCACACCCCCTTGCCAATAATGGCTGGCCATTTCAGACTGCTCTGAGTAAGGGACTAGATGAAGAGTGGCAGTGGGTCTCTGAGGCAAGGAGGGCATAGAGGGTTGGGGATACACAGAGGAAGAGGAACCCAGAGTGCAGAGACATGGGGAGACACCAGCCAGAAGGAGGCGCTTCAGCACCAAGAGGCTAATTCCCAGAGTGACCAGCAGGAGCTGTGCTGGTGGGGAGTCTGCCCCATGACAGGGAGGTAAGGTTCAAAAGATGTGTTGGTACATCATTTGAAAAGGAGTAATTGAATAATTCATAAGTTCCTAATACCTTCTTCTATTGGCATGAATTACAGGAAGCATACAACTAATTTACTAAAGATTCTTCCCTCTGGTAACTAGTTATAAGTCACCTGATAGTAATCTAAAGTGTCTTAAGGCTTTTCAAACAAATTGCTAAAAAGAAATAGGGGCTGGCAATGGTTGCTAACTACAAACTACAGTTATGCTTAGCAGCCATTTTGCTAAAGAGCACCAACAAAACCCTCTTCAGGCTAGATTCTGAGTGCCTAAGAATACATCTGCACTGCACAACTTACAACAGCAGACCTGTGCCACTGCAGTCACTGGGTGTAAGGTGTGCAGTACAGACATTCTTTATCGCTGTGAGAGCTCTCTCAGCAACAAAATAAAGCGACCTTCAAGAAGGGGCAGTAGATTCATCAAACCTTTTTGCTGTTAAAAATGTTCTTATTCTGGGTGTGGCTTTTTTCACACCCCTGAGCAACAAGGCTACGTCTACACTGGCCCCTTTTCCGGAAGGGGCATGTAAATTTCACCAGTCGTCGTAGGGAAATCCGCGGGGGATTTAAATATCCCCCCCGGGATTTAAATAAAAATGTCTGCCGCTTTTTTCTGGCTTTTAAAAAAGCTGGAAAAGAGCGTCTACACTGGCCCCGATCCTCCGGAAAAAGTGCCCTTTTCCGGAGGGTCTTATTCCTACATCAAAGTAGGAATACATCAAAGTAGGAATAAGACCCTCCGGAAAAGGGCGCTTTTTCCGGAGGATCGGGGCCAGTGTAGACGCTCTTTTCCAGCTTTTTTAAAAGCCAGAAAAAAGCGGCAGACATTTTTATTTAAATCCCGGGGGGGATATTTAAATCCCCCGCGGATTTCCCTACGACGACTGGTGAAATTTACATGCCCCTTCCGGAAAAGGGGCCAGTGTAGACGTAGCCTTGTTGCTCAGGGGCGGAAAAGGGGCCAGTGTAGACGAGCCGTAAGAGTTTTGTTTGGAATAGAGACTTCAAACTCTTAACGACCCTTTTCAACCACATTTTTAACTTATTGCACTAACATGGAGTTCAAGATCAATTAACTGCCACTGTCAAAAGAATAGATTTAAGATAAGCTCATATCCAAGGATTACATCTTAAAGCAGTTGATTTGGAAACGTATTTGGACTTTGAGACCATTAAAAATGAGAAGTGGACCTGATCTCCATCAAATGTAAGATTTAAAAAACAATTATTGAAATAAAAAAATCTAAATAAAGTTAGATTCCCAGAGTAAATCAGGCCTCAAGTGTCTCAGACTGGACCATGAAAAATGGGAGGTTCCAAAAATCAGATACTGATTTTGCAAATATTGATTTCATTGGTAGTTTCCCCTGCATACGGACTGAGGAGGAAATGCAGATTTAATAATCAAACACACCATGTGGTGTTACTGTTGTTAAATACATTTTTTGTAAATGTGTATGAGAACCATTTCTCTCTGAATGGGGATCCTTATGAAATGTCATGCTCTGAGCTCATGTTTTTCTGATTCACATATTTAGTGATATACCCTGAGATCCAAGTCTTATCTTACCATCTATAGTTAGCTGCATATGTAATGTATTGAATCTACATAATTTTTTCTCCATAAATATCCAATTTAGTGGCTGACTATTAAGCTACTGTTTAAGCAAGAATGCTAGTATTTGCACTATTAATTGTTTTAGTTTAAACATTTGTACCATAATGTGTTTTTTGAAAGATTCAGCACAAGAAATGGTAATTACTGTAGTAAGTATGGGAAAAATAAGCTTAAACTTTGAAAATCTACAACTAACCATATCAACTGACTGGTTTACAACATGAGGATTTATATATTTTCCCTGAAATGCATTTAATCTTGGAAAATTGTATCTAGTGTACAGTGCAATTTGAATAACAAGATACTTTGGTGCAGGGAGCAGCTCTGATAAGCATGTGCTCAGGTGATGAAAACTTTTTTTTAAATAACGGATTGTCCATCAGTTTGAAAAAAACCTCTATGACAATAATACTATAATAAAGAGAAATCATCACTCTTTC